CTCGATTTAACGCATGTCGGACACATATAAATTGAGTAACACACTCAAAAATATATTTCATTGCTGCTTTTTATTTTAGGATTGTGACATTTGAAAAAGTAATGAAGGGCAGTGTCGTGAACTTTATTGTTCGCGAAGGATTCTGATAAACTATGCTCAATATAAAAGGGCTTTACATATTTGAATGATTCTATTTTTAATTACTCCAATATTTTGAAGTTCGTCAGATTCTGCAAGTTCTTTTAGACTTATGGTTCAAGAACTTGAACTTTTGAAATGATACGACTGAATTTTATAAAATATTAATGAAATGATTAGAAGCAACATTTATATTTCAGAAGGCAGACAGACTCTTAGAAGAAACGACATCAATTAAATATTTTAAAAAATCATGAGTTCATAAGATTGGAAAGAAATGTCTTAAGATGTAAGCTTAGGAGTCGCAGTCGAAATTAAAAACGTAGGGAAGTGTTTGGGAAATGGATTTTGAGGGAGATAATGTTTTTTTTAGAAAAGTAAAATTTTAAGTACGTAATTAATGAAATGATGTTATTTTAATTTGCTTCTAGCATATTTACTCATTATTTGGAAATATATGATGATAAAGTTCCTTCGGTGAGAATGAAAATACATTAATAACCAATTAAGAACTTGAAGATTTTTTAAAAATTATTGATATGTTCTTTATTGAAAAATATCTTGATGAACATTCACCCCTTTAAATGAATTATTTATATACTGAATTATTATTTATCATTACTTCTGAATAAAAGAGATCATGGATGTGATTAAATTATTCTTATCCCTCCAACAATCTATAAAAACTGATAACATTCTATAATCAGTCATGGCGAGATACGGTCCGTCCGGTCCGCTCTTTCGCCTGATCACTCATTTCGTTATCCTCCTTTCGGCAGTTAGCAGCAAAAGAAGATATTACTCGGGCGCCAGAAGGGGGGATTTGAATTAAGCTCGGAGGCTTCTTTTAGGCTTTTCCAAGAAGTAAATCTACAACATGGGACAACTGGCTTAACTTCCTCTCCAAAGAAAGGCGTACCAAGGATGTTTCACCCTTAAAATCCACTTCCCCGAACTTCCCGAACATGCGTAGAGCAATACGCTAACCGTTACACCACCGAATCCGCAATTAATCCCCCCCCCCGCTTCGTAACTACGGGGCCCATGTCATTCCCTTGGCCAGGGATGTGCTCGCGGTCTGCGCCGAGCTGGTCGGCCGCCGCCGCGGCCTGTGTTCTCAGCTGGGCCGCTCGCGCGCTTCGGCCGGCGTTCGCGCCGAGGACGGCCGCGCCCTTACACTTCTCTTCCATTACGCCTCTAGGCGATTAGCAGCTCGCGATCCGCCCCGCGCCTCGGCCGCCGCCGCCGCGCGCCGAGTGTGAAGCACAACAGCCCAGGTAACAGCTACGTCGTGAATTGGCCCTCAGCGACATCGAGTGCGCTCCTGGTATTTTCATTAGCGGCCCCAAGAGTTCTCCACGCACTCCAGCCAGCCCTCGGCGAAAACGCAAAAGGAACGGACGAGTACAACCGCCATCGCCTGTCGATGGTCTCTCGAGAATTCCCGAGTCATGCGTCGGAGACGGCGGCGCGGCGGTCGCGCGGCCGCTCGGACACGCACGTGCGACGCCCCACGCACGACGCAGAGGTCACGCGAGACGCCGTCGCCTCCGCCGCCGCCTACGACACGCAGCCGGGCGAGTGGCTCCCGGCACACGGGCCCAGACGCGACGCACAGCGCGAATGCAAGGGCACTTCGAGACGCGCTCTACGATTCGTCAGATAGATTCTTGGGGCTAGTCGTTATCGTTTGCCATGCCTCCGACCCACGAGTCCCCTAGTTCGCACGGTTTGCACGGCGCAGTTCGACACGGCATTCTTGTGTTTGAGTTCACTCAAACCGTGTACATTTGAGTAAGTCCCGATTTATTTTAAAAAGTAGAAGCGAATCGCTGTCCCCCAGTTAAGAATTCATGGTTGTCCTAGTAGCAGTGTCAAAACCATTCTTGTAATTAGAGGAAAAGTTACCAGAATTATGCGAATTGTCGTGAGACATAGATATCTTGCCGACAAGTAAATTTTTTTAAGCAAGTAATTCGATTATCACGATTAGAAATTTGAGGCTCCACACTTTTACAATCTTCCTTGCTGGTTTTCATTTCACATTCAGAATATTAATAATTTCACATTAAATTCACAAATACACTACAGTCCATTTACCAATTATTTTTCAAATATATGTTCAATTTCTGCTGTTCGGTAATCCCATAACCTCTAATAGTTTGTTGTTTCTAACACCATCATTATATTATTCCTACACCTATTCGTAGTGTGTCTCGCTTTTGGAATTACCAATTGAGAACAATACCTAAGATTGCTTTTCAATTTATTTGTGACTCCGCAAATCGTGCTCTCACCGAACATATTATATTTTAATTAATAGACGCGATGAAATCCCTGTTTCAAAACCTGAACAAATGAATTTACCAGGAATTTAAAACATATTCTTTATGGGGCGCGCAGGCCACTGGAACCGCTTCTCGGAAGAGCATGCCGGCTTCTCCGCACGCGCGCCTGTATGTCACCCGGGGATTCCGCGAAGCCCGCGAGCGGGGCGGCGCAGTGGTCGCGCAGCGCGGCGCAGCAGAGATGTAGCCGAGGCGCAGCGGAGGCGCAGCGCGAGCACTTAGCCGCGGCACGCACGCCGCTGACGTCAGCGCCAGGCATTGTTGCATTGCGGCGTGCGCATTCTCGCCTGCCTTTTTCTTTGTTTTCGCGCTACACGTAGTACGTTCCGTTTCGAGATATAGGCGTGACTGCTTTACGAGTGTGGGAGCGCCATGTTTCCTCACGCGAAGATGTTCTTGTCGTTGCCGCGTGTATGGCGCGATAAACTTGGGCGACTCGCTAGGAGGATGCTAGGCGGAGAAAAATTGAAATTTCAGAAGCGAGGGCAGATTGTTGATTTATCGGCAAACCTTCAGAGAGCAGACAATAAGCCTACGTATTTGGGGAAAACATTAGAATATTTTAATATTTTATTTATAAATTTGTAAAATTGATTTTTTTAACTATGCAACTTCCTCTCAGCACACATTTCGTATTATCTTTGAAAAAAAAACTTTTCAGTCGATATTGAATATAACCCCAAAAAAGGATTACATACTACAATAGTATAAACAAAAAGATCTAATACAATTTTTGTTCTCAAAACCGCGAGAGATGCGTAATTATTTCAAAATTTTCGTTTTACCACTTTTACTCCGCATTTTCACAATCTAGTTGAAATTATTAATTAAGAAGGTTATCATGTAATGAATGTTCTCAAGTTCTCTATATTATTTACTATTTTTTTCCTATTCTGTTCATTTCTTTCAATTTTTTATTAATTTCCGACTATGATATATATTCTCAGCTATACAATATTTTTTCCAATCAATCTCAATTTACCTACGAGTTTGCCATTTGCCCTTTGATTTCGTGTTATCCATCGACGATAAAATATCAATACATTGAATCACCACGAATATAAATTTATTTCGAAATGTTCATGGAATTCTCAATGCAAATGTTGTGTGTACTCTAATCGAAATGTGCAACATATTTACTACTGACGATACAAATGCACAATAAATACATGTATAACTGACATGAAAAGAACCAGTGATCTGGTGCGAAATGTTTCCCCTGCCTGGACGGAAAATGCATCTCGAAAGCAATGGAGTTCCTCAGGTACAGATCGCTGCAAGGTGCTGGCGAAGAGGGAGGGTAGTGAGAGAGAGAAGGGAAGTACCTTCTATCTGTCATGTACAGTAAACTCATAATCTCGAAAGACCGTAAAGTCATTTTGCCGGCGTTATCTTAACTAGTGCGGTTTCTTTAAAAATCCTACAAGAGTGTAAATTGATAAACATATATAGATTCACATTATATTTAATACTTTTTTGTATAACAACAAAAGAATAGTGTTTGCTTGCTAAGTACAAGTAGAAAACTACGCTAACGTTGTAGATTACAGAAGTGCCGATAGAATAACGACAATCATTGTTGACTGTACCTCGCCGTGTGGCGACTGAAATTTACCAGTGCGCCTACGCGAACAAAGCCCCAGGCACCTGGTAGAGTGCAACGATCAGTACATTGCTGGCTGTGGGAGGGTTCACCTCTAGCAAGGGAGTGTCCCCAGATACAGAGAGTAGCGTATTTCTTTGCAGCGCCGATTTCGCCATTGTGTACCCAGTTGTCGGGGAAGTTCGAAACGTGTGTGTTGGGAACCACCAATCAACTCAAAACCAATATTAATGTTCTCGAACGTCTCTGTATTATCGACAATTGTTATCATTTCTCCTCAGCCCCCGAACGCTGCCTAGCGGGCCTATGAAATGGGAGACTGGCTGAGTTAGTTCAGGTCAACAACCAAAGCAGCAACTCATTCCACGGAGGTGGATTTTCTACTCTATCTATATAGTTGGGCCGAATTCAGCCGCGTTCAGGAGGAGACTTCTAGCGGCTGGCTTCCCTAATCGGTAGCGTTTTTTCGATCAACACCAGGCGCATGCCGGTGCTGTATCCTAAGAAACAGGCTACGGGGCCGCGCGCGATTTTTTCCCTCATTCTTACATACACACAACTTGTGCTACACTACCACATGTCAGTCGACCAGTCGGGGGCTAAGAGCATGTCCTGGCTGGGACGATGGCATCTGGGCAAGGGGTGTCAGACTGTCGCAAGCTGACATGTACTAGTTCGGGGCCGAAACTGACGTTTTAGCGGGGCAGAAACACCGCCTCCTTCCGCGATATAACATGCACTACACTGACAGGACTAATGACGAAAGCAGTTGAGGCACTAATCAATCAAATCGGTAGGCTATTGAATGGCAGCTGCTGTTGAGGTTGCGCTCCTCTCTGCATCTGGGGACTCGGGCACCTAGGAGCAAGGGGGGGGGGAGACGCGGGGCGGCGCCGCGCCGGGTACTCACTCTTCTCAAAGTTGATCTGGCGCTCCTGCTGGCGGGCGTTGTCGGCGGCCACCTTGAGCAGGCCCTGGATGTTGCGCAGCAGCGTCTCGGTGCTGGAGATGCTGGGGTCGACGGCGGCCATGGCGGCGGCGCCGGCCACGCCTCCAGCCGCCGCCGCGCCCGCCAGCGTCGAGTAGTTGATGGCGTGCTGCGAGTCGCTGCCCGGCACGCTGTTGAGGCCGCCCAGCTCGGCGGCGGCGTCGCTCAGCTCGCCTGCGGAAACGCACGTGCTTGTCACTTCACGGCGTGGCGGGCCTGCCCGGCCGACTACTGCGCAACGCCACATGCGCGCGACGAAGGTGTAATGGTTAGCGTACCGGAATGTTGTACCGAAGTTAGCGGGTTCATACTCGATCGGAGCCTGGGTTTTTAAGAGTGACAAAACGGCGACAAGGGCGTAAAACCGGCTGTACCATGTTAGTAGATTTACTTGCATGTAAAAGATCCTCAAGCCTAAATGACGCTTCTGAGCAAAATTCAAATCGCCTGTTTCTCGCCCAAGAAATACCTCCACTCTCTGCTAGATGGTGAAAGGAGCGTAGCGAAATTCGCGTAGTCAGACGGAACAGCAGGCCTCATGGCCTGAGTCTCGCACGTAAAATAAGGCAAATACAATTCAATTCGACGTGAGGGCGCTGCATCCTAATGGTTGCTGATGTCTAACGCGCGCAGACATTGAAAAAACTCTCGTTTTGTTAGATACCCAGGAACTCGGTACACAGAAACAAAGAATATCGATTTGGACTAGAAAATGCAAATATTTGATTTGTTATTCCGCCCATATTGCGCTTCCCGATTGGACTCTCACACTCAATGCGTCACTGGTTACGATAAAGCCGACCCCTTTCGAAAGTAAGGCTCCATGGCAGAGGCGATTAAACGATTAAATATTTCCTATTCAGGTGTTGCGTTATGGAACAGCAATTTTTTTGATATTCTTAGTATGTAAAGAACTTTTGAACTGTGTACCTGTATATACTGTACTACGTTATTGCAGAATTCACGAAGACTTGTTTTTGTTAAAATATTTAATTTATTGTAGTGTTATTACAGAGTATTTTATTTGTTATTTTTGAGCAGTATACATATACTTTTTGGAGAAAAAGTAGCACGTTCCAAAATACAATGCTACAATCCGGCAAAACTCTAATTTTGTCTCAGCATCATGCTTCAGTTATTGAAATTCCATATTAGTTTCATAACCAACATTAAATGGCACAGGGCATAGTGAAACTTTATTTTTGTTTACATTTGAAATGCAATATTTCAAATGTCAAGAATCTCAGCATCTCTATAAAACTTAATAGACGTTAAGAATTACAAGTAATTCATATGAAAATTACAGTGTATGTACGCAAGAAAAAAATGATGCATTATTGCGACTTTTGAAGACGATATGGAAGCGATTAATTCATACTGTGCACTTCGAGTTTCGGCAAAAAACTTTTCACAAAGAACAGAAACAATGTTTGGGTCCGTGTGTCCCTGTATTAATATATATATATATATATATATTGTATGTTGAAATAATCATCAAAATCACCAATATTTCATTTTTTAATTCTTTACTGTTTTTGCATTAAATTGTATAGTTTATTTCTGCAGTATAATGAAATGTCCTTTCAAGTCGAACATTCATCAAGTTTATCTCAAGCGATATTTGCATTACTTTCTACGGTGAAGCAATGCCGGTAGAAAACAGAGGAGATCAAGACATCTCGGCGGGGTCGTTGGCGGAAAGCGTGGGCCATCACTAAGAGCGGAAAATAGCCCCGACCAGCTAGCGTTGCCCACGATTTTAATAGCGCGCCGCGGCGCCCGTTTCCGGCTTTCCAGCGCTCGCGCTCGTCCCGCCTGGCGCGGCTGGCGCGGCGTCGTGATGGCCAGGGCCCGCAGTGCAGGCGCGGGGCCACGAAGTGCAGCGGGCGGCCGCGCGCGGCGCAGTGGGCCCCAACGCACACGGGGCACAAGGCGAAAAATGAAATTTACAGGTAAACGTGTTGAAGACTATCGCTGGCAACCGACATGTGGAAATGACACGCTTAATAACTGATGGATTATGGGGTAAGTATCGCCGAAACGCTTCGCAGTTAATAATTATTATAATTTTTATAAAATGATATAAAATGCAATGTTATAAAATTCGTACTTTTCGAGCAATGCGAGTGTGGCAGTCCACAAATGATGTGATCATTGCTAACTGGCGAATCGTCTGGGAAGAGGCGACATGAAAGTGATTAAATATTTTTGGGGATTTTTACTCTATTTATTCATAACAATAACTACATATTTTGATCACCTCACGTTTCCAAGTTGTATTTTCGACAAGCCCGAAAAGACGGTAATTCAAGAAGAAATTCACATTCTAAAACGTTTCTTTGAACAAATTTATGAGAGGGGGTCGAAACTGAAATTCACTCCCCCACTCTTCGAATATTTGCTAGTTCCAACATTAACTCTCATTTCCATGCGTGTAACCCAATTTCAGAAAATTGTACTAATCTACTTATTTGAACATGATAATAAAGTATACCAGTATTCATTAATTTTCTTACGGCATTTCTTTTTCTCAATATTCGTTTGATGGCGAAACGTGTTTGAAGGCCACTGTGTAAATTTTCCTCTTTCATGTAATTTAATGAAAAAATTGCTAATTTTATCTTTGTGACTCACAAGAAAATTGCCATGTTTGACCTATTTTAAAGCACCGCCCAATTTATTAGCCATTCCTCATCTAAACTATTCCTCCCCATGTTTGTATCGTATTGTAAGGCGTGTCGAGGTGACTGGTTTACTCATAGATGCACCAGACGTGTTTTGCTCTCCTCCCCCCGCACGGGCCCAGTGCGCGGCGCCGTTCCCTGAAGGGCAGGGTTTCGTCCGCCGCGGCCGCGGGCCCTGGGAAAGCGTTGTCCGCGCCGCGGCCGCAGCCGGTCGCCAAGCGGCTTGCAAATCGCCGGCCACGACCTGCCTCCGCCCCCGCGCCCGCCCCGCGCCGCCACTCCCGCTGCTCGCTGCACTTGAGGATAAGGGGACCACCCGGAGCGCGCGGGCTGGACGGAGCTCTCCCGACTGCATCCCGCGCTCGACATTTCCGACGCCTTTGCCTCCCTCTTCAAAAAGGCAGAGCCCAAGTACATGCCGCTCTGTTACCTCGTCAGTACTAGTAAGGTCTCGATCGATTATCAGTGGTTCAAAGATTCCCATTTGCACAAATACTCCTTTTAAGATCGTTCATTTTATTTACACTTGTGTTGTAATAGTCAGTCTGTCGGGGCTAGTTCTGGGGTAGGGTGTTCGCTTTCCACCACGTGACCCTGGGTTCGATTCCCGGTTAGGCAAGATTATAGAGTGCGTTTTCCTTGCAATGTCCCAGTGTATGTAACGTGCTAACCTCACATACCCCCTTAACCCATTACCGAGAGGTAGGGACGTCCCGGTAGGGCCGAGCCCGTTGTAATGGTCAGAGACCTAGAGTAAGAAAAGCGTGATATTTAGCAATTAGACATTAGTGATAATTATTAATTCATTGAAACCTATTTCTATGTACTATAGTGTGGGCTGCTCTAAGGAGGAGGGTCAAGGGGGCCACGATGTTCCCTTAAAATATATAGCATTAAAATAATTGTATTTCAATACCAACACATTTTCCATTATTCTCTCATGTTCACCTCCATTCGAGGTTTTGGAGCGAGAACATCAATTCGTGTTAATCATTAATGGAAACTTAATTCACATTCTTTCCTCATTTCCCCTCCTGAAACATCGGCCGGGATGCAATCGGACGATGCCTTCTCAGATATCCAAATGTGAAAGGGGCTAAAATAGGAAGCTGGTATCGGGAAAACTGATCGCAGGATGCAATCGGAAACACCCGAAACTGACTACGGGATGCAATCGGGCGACTCCATATGCGTCGGGGTTCAGATTGCTAGCGGTCAGTTTTGATCTGCACTGCCCAAAACGCGTGCACGTTGGGTTTCCTTAGAGCTTTCCCGACACTCTTACTCCGCATTTCAACATTTCGTCCTCATCATTGTTTTAATGGAATAATCTTTGTGATGGGTTTGTAGAATCATTAGAGACCAATCTCTAATACACTTCACAATTAGATATGACTCTTCCTCTATCAACCTATTCGTTTTGAACCACAGTTTAATTTTTATCCGGCATAAGGCACCATGAAATATTGTAATGATACATGTATAGATAATATTACAGATAGTTTAAAATAAACGGAATGGAAATCATGTGAAATTTAACGCGAATATTGTTCGTTCGTGTAATCGTATTGCAATTTATTTGTATTTGGTACATGACACATGCGAGAGGTAGAATATGTTTTTTATCAAAACCTTTCTATATGAAATACAATTTAAAACACATTCAAAGGCGATGTAATTTGTAACGATTACTTTCATCGTCACATTTCTTTCTAGTTTTCTTTGTGTCATGGGAACTCGTGAGTTGCAGCATAAATTGACTGGGGTAATTAATTTCTTAGTTTCTCTCATTCTTCTACATCGATTAGAAAGTAGTGCTCTTAAAATACGGAATAGATTACAGTACTGCTTTTCGTAATGATATTGTAAACGTATGAAATAAAGAAATTATTTGAGCACTGTCAACGAAGGAACAACTAAATTTTAAATATGCATACAAAAATGTTAATGGAGTAATGAGTATAACCCGTATCTATCCGAAAATGTATAGATGAATACATTAGACACATTTAATTTGCCAACAATGGTCAATAAAAGAGACTTCAGTACTAAAATAAATCAAAGAACTTCTAGAAAGAAGGAATGGTTTATGATAATTAGTTAAGTAATCTCCACAATAAACGCGGTTATGCGCTAATAAACCGCAGGTCAGAAAATGGAAAGTAACTACGAGCTGAATGCATTACCGCTCACGAAGCAATTAATTTTCTTCAAATTATCAAGAAATGATATGTCTGTGTTTCTGGGGGAAGGCCGCTACCCACTGACACTCGTACAATTGCACCACGTCACCTCGAGATATGTTTTTAACACATTTCTTAGTAATAACTTGACACAATATAGCTTAATTAAATCGTCTACTCGGAACAATAACGACGTATCTACATAACCAAAGATTACAGTACGAGGAAGTTAGTGCCATTACAGAACTCAATTTTTTTCAAAATAATTATCCAGCATGAAAATATTTCTTATGACATTGTTCTGTTTCTGTACTCATGAGAAAAAGGGGAAAAGACCTTTACCTAAGCTTGCGCTAATATGTTGACCTTTTTATGCGTTTGCGTTACTTTTATCCCCTAAAACAAATACAATATGAAATCTGAAGTTATCAGAGTATTTGAGTGACAATGTAATAGAGACCATTTAAACCACTAGCTAGTTAAAACTGAAATAACTGATAACACAAGAAACAAATATGACAACACATTAACGTCGTTGTTGATCTGATTTAGGAATCAAAATTGATATACCGTAGATCTAAGGAACAATTATGTCACTTTAGGCACGGGACCCTGCACTCACTATCAAGTATCAAGAGTGGAAAATGATTAATTCGTCAGTCCTTTCGAAGCATCTTATTTAACAGTTGACATTTCAACAATTATTGTATTACCCTCTAGTGATTTAAAGCCGAGTTTCAACAACGTCAATGTTTTCCTATTCTCGTCCGACCTTCCTGAGTTGCTGAGTTGACCTATGCAATTACTCCATTTTAACCAATTTTGCAGTAGCAGCGATATTGTGCCAGGTTGACGAAATGTTTTTATTGTAGTGTTGGGCCCTTTTTGTAAATGCGTTAACGGTTTGTACCTAGTAGGATTTTGAATCAAATATTACCAAAGGAAATAACCCTCGAGAGAGAGTTTACATTACTGACCGGCAAATTTTTTCTCACAGTGAAAAATTAAATATCTCTTCGATCCGTTCATTAAGTGAATCATGTATTTCCGTAACCATAGTATTAAATATTTTTCCTGGCCACACTCTTCGTTTGCAAGGGTATTATTACTGCTGCCGGCATAAAGACCTTCCTCCTATGTCCAGTTTCGCGCTGTTGCGGCTGTTAGGGTCTGAGGCTCCGTTCACCCGCTCGATCATCATTGCATTTGCTTTCGTTGGCCACCCGGAGGTTGCTGGCATCCAATCGTCAATTACGTTCCTCTTTTCGAAAGGGCGTAAGCCCTGGGATGTTGAACACCCGTGGGCTACAGCCGCGGCACGTCCTCCGTCCAGCGAATTCTCGATATTAGCGCAGGCCGAGTTACATGGCCGAGGTCAGTATACATGGTCGGGGCGAATACGCTTGGGAACATTTTCGTTCTCGCGCCTTTTTTCTCCCACTCTCTCTATCTCTCCCTCTCTTCTACGCGAAGGTCATGGTTCGTTAAACTGCCAGGCCCTGTGGTCTCGATTAGTTGTGATACAAATAAGATCGCTCCGAAAGGAGTGCAGCGGCTAGGGTGCTCTACAAGGCGGGGCACGCCTGGAGAGAGTGTAGCTTCTGATACATCAAAGAATAAACATTAAGGAGGCAAATAAAAACCTCAGCGGGGTAGAAGATTGTGCTTGACTGCATATCGGCAGATTACGACGATGACGAATTTAAACACACTTCCTTCAGTCTGAGAATTTGTATCAGAGATGTTTCGAGTATTTATCGAAACATTCAGAATATTGTGGAGAAAAAATGATTGTAATTATCTATGTTTTAAGTGAAAACCAAAATATTTACAAAAATATGAACATTATATAATGATGAATCACGCATTGTGAAATAGGAAGAGGACGAATTTAAGTTCACTACAGAGAAGAAATCGAATAAACGATCAATCATTGAAATCATCAATGATTCCAGAAAAAGAAATTTATAGGCTTTAGAAATCACACGTACTTTAGTTCAGATAACGTGAAAACTACCACAACATTTCGAAATCAATGTACTAACATTGCGAAGAGAAAGAAAATAGAGAAGTATCATGTTTATGAGAAATGATGTTCATTGAAATAATGGTTGACTAAGCCATTAATATCGTTAACATTAGTGAAAGTTAGATTAAGAGGTGTAAAATAAGAAGAATTGTAGTAGTTGTTCGTAACGCTCAGTTGCGAATCAAATGTTACGACGTACATACATAGAAAGAGCAAGCGTGCATGATGGAGAAAGTTAAGAGTATACACTGTTTTTCTTTCAAGAAAACAAATTCACCTCTGTCCCCATTGATAGTGTCGTTTTCTTGCGCTTTCTTAACATTCGATTTGCTATTTATTTATTTTGAATTACTCGTATTTCTTCCAAACATATGTATTACATACTTTAGACTGCTTTCATTTGGGCTACTAAAAGAAAGGTTCTGCAAGAGGACTTCGGCAACATCTTCAAAACGGAAAAGAGAGGCATCTCTGATGTACGACTTCAATAGACTATTGTACATATTTCCTTTGCATGAAATTAGAAAGTACATTTGTAAAGAAGAGTTGAATAGAGATTCAGTCATATTCAAAATTAGGATTTGCAGGTTACGATAATCACGAGAAACTCTTCTGGAATTCTTGTATCTGAGAGGGAGGCAATTCAATTCGTAAATTGATATGATCAGCTGCCCATTGCTAAACAATCACAAGGATAAAATATCCATAAAGCAAGCCAGTTTTTGTTTTCCGTATCGACGGTAATCAAGGTCCCTGTACAATCAAGGCAACTTCAATACAAAACTCCGATAAAAATGATTAGTCGGGCTTTCGTATGGGTGTCTCATTCTTGCAATCACTTTAATAGTGTTATTTCAGATTATGCATTGGTTTAAGTTTCGTAATGAATATTCACATACATTCTTTCTTATTTTGCTGGGCTACCTGAGGGACAAGCTCCGTACCGTCCTGCGAGACTTTTCGCCACAGCATCCCGATTCAGCGAAGGTCACGTGTATTCCCGCGGCTTCGAATTACTTCCTATTATCAGCATCTGCCGGCCCTGACGACTGGCTCAGAAGGAGAACGGCAGATCTCGATAACTAATTTCACACCGCAAAGGGTCAGCTCTATATTTCATGCGGACGAGATCTGGCGGGCGAGTATGCAAACTTAAGCCGCCCCGCATATTACACGTGATTCCATCGAGATTGTATCGCGGCGTTCGGTCGGACTGTGGTGCTATTACTCGCGAAGTCGCAGAGATGGAATCTACCTGAACTGTTATGTGACTGACATTTTGAAAGTTGAAAAAAGGCCCGCTCGCGCTTCCCGGGGGTTGACCGTATATGCTTGCAAGCGCGCCTTCCACCTCGTCGCACCCCCTCCCCGCTTTCCGCTGTTTCATGCCGCCCCCCGCCTCCTCCCAACCGCCACTCGCTACCGTACAGTCTTAACGTATCCTCAATGTGCACGTAGGCCGCCTCGAGGAATAAATTTCAGCTGCGTTCGCGAATTTGAAACGTTTTCGAGGCCGTGTGTGCTAAGGTTTCAATAACGTATGTTATTCGCACATCGTAGTAAAGAGAACGAGCTTCTGAGAGAAGGATATCATTACTCAGACTTCGATGGCAGTCGCGATTTTATTAAATAATGGGACGATTTTTCTCTTTCGACTCACGGCGTTCGAGAAAATTTACTATAATATTAGCGTGGCACAACTTTCACCGTCCCATCGAGATTATGAATTCGACTCCATTAACGTTAGACTACACACGAATTAACCTGTAGTGAGAACGAGGCATGACTTTCTCTTTTCCGTCATGCATTTGTATTCAATATACAGTATGTGAATTATAGTGCATGACGTATCGGAGCTACAATGGAGTACCTACCTGGAGTAATGATAGATGCATATTTTTCCTTACCTATTATACTCTCGGACTTCCAAAACATAGCAAGTAACGACAAGGTTAATTAAATGGAACACAAATGTATGTAATTTCGATATCTCTCTCCCACAGCAGATGACGTGGGAGCGATTGATGAGTTTAATAGCGTGCAATACAGACCTAGCAGGGAAGTGTCGAATGCGTATTTTAACAAATTCACTCACGGAAATACGCGCATACAATTCCTAGTAATGCATTAATGTAACTATTACTGGGTGATGAATACGTTTTAAATACAGTAAGGTAAATGAGTTAGTTGAGTTTCGAATGCGCTTCCCGACCATCTTTTTACGCGATTTTAAATATTTACTCGCTTTAAATAACATGAGCCTGTGTGATTAAATTCGTTCCCAGCTTATTCGGACACATACGGAGAACAATAATAAATATAATTGCCGGCAGCAACATTATACCATGGACATCAACTGATCTGTCCGTGGTTACTCTACCCCGTCATATTTAGGGAAATGCATTTATCAATTTATCATACACTGTAATGCGCTAAAAACAATTGTCTGATGATAACATCACACACGTTCAATACTTCATGCGATGTGTGGGGATGATTCGCAAATGGATTACTCAAACGACAAATGACAATCGCCACAATGTAGAAAATGATAAAATTATTTTTAAGGAACCCTAACTAGATTATATACAAATTGTCACATTCGGGCATCCTGATTAATATTTCATCAAGCTGAATAGTTAAAGGGCGAGAGAAATCTAATATTTTAAGAGATAATACGAAAGAGGTTATTTGATGCAACGAAATTTTTCAGACCCTGGAAAAATGGTATTTTTTTATATCAATGTTAACCCCGTGAAGCATTTTGGTGAAAGCTGGCGTAGCTTGTATGAAAGCGACGTTCGCGCAGAGCGCTCCCAGCGCCGTCTCACCTTGATCCTTCTCGTCCTCCTCGTCGACGTCGCTCACATTGTCCTCGTCGTCTTCGTCTTCGGGGCCGGTGTGGCCCGCTTCGGAGCCCGAGTGCTCCCCGCCGGAGCCCGAGCCGCCGCCCCCGCCGCCGCCGGCGCTGCCGCCGCCGCCGCCGGCGCCGCTCTTGGACAAGTTGAGCACGGGCGAGTGGCCGTTCGGCGAGCCTACGCACCAGAACGCCGTGTCCCTCGCCGCCGGGCGAGTCCAAGCCCCAGGCCCTGCACCCAAGCCCCAGGTCCCAAACCCACAGTCTTAGACTCTTAACACCCAAACCTAAAACCCCAAACCCAACACATAAAACCCCAAACACAAAACGTCCGAACCCCAAACCCTAAGTCCCAAACTCCCAGTCTTCGATCTTAAGACGCAAACCTAAAACCCCAAACCCTGTACACTAAACCTCCAAAACAAAACGACAGAACCCCAGGTCTCAAATCTACAGTTTTAGACCCTAAAATGTAAATGTGAAACCCCAAACTCAACACAAATAACCTCGAAAACAAAATCTCAGAAACTAGGCCCTAAACCTTAAGCCCCAAGTCCCAAACACTCCATCGCTATGCGCATCCTTTTAACCCACATTTAATCTCACTTCTATTAAAACATGTCTCCTTCCGTTTAGGACTGCAAGTCTCAGCCTATCTCATACAGCATTCCTTGCCACCTTTCCGGTTCCTTATCTTTTCTTAATGCATGTAATTAAATACGACATGCCTCCTATCTTGTCAACATAGCTAGTACTCTGTACCTATTCATTTTGATCTAATCCCTTTAATATGTAAAATAAATATTGATTCTCTTAAGTGTCAGCTTTCTGAGTTACCCATTTGCGGTAAGCTTAGAAAACAAATTATGAATATGTTTGACATAAAAACAGTATATGTTTGTCAAAGAATACAAAATTATATTCAAAAAGTAACATAATAAAGGCACATTCTAATTATATTTTGAGAAAAGCAACAGACAAACAGAAAACTATAATGTATTGATAGAATACAGTTCGAAATGGCCCAACTTTTCTGAGTTCCGTGACAATCTCTAGGACACCAGAGCACCTCTCGACTCAGCAGGACAATCGGGGCGCTCTGATCGTCCTCCCTGGCTGAAGGCCCTCGGAGCAGTGGATTCAGCTCGGACTGGGAAGCCGTCTCCCATTATTTCGCCAACTCGCTGCCCGCGCGCGCTTTCCTTGGTTCCGTTAACGCCAAACATTCCCCATTAGGGTCAGCTATCGGCCCGCCATCGCAATCAGCGCGCTCCGTGACGCCTGATCTTTGCGAGGTCCATTGCTTCCGCGTCGCTGAAGCCCAAGAGCGGGCGGGCGGGATCCACCGATGCACCGAACGGACGCGAGAGGGAAAGGTGCCGAAGGCACTGAATGATTTCTCGGCATGCTTAACATGATTTTAGAGCTCGATCCTTAAAACCTCAAGAAATCAATGGTTCTCTATCTGAATAGTCAAGAAAGCTTCATACTCGTCTCAACGCACGAGGAGGGAAATCGAGCATTGATAACAAGACTTATCCGTTGCCTGGAAATTATTGCCGTATTTCTTTTGAAAGATCGGAAACTAGAAAACTTTAGAGAACAGAGGTTTTTGAGTTCCGAATGTAGCGGTTGTGGTTCCAATTTAAGAGGCTTTGAACATTCATGAGTGGCCGACTTCGAATCCGAGACTTGCCGCCCAACGGGTGGGCGGCGCGCTTTGGCGAGACGCGGCCGGGTGTCGGGTGCAAGGCGGGGTGGGCGGGGGTGGGCGGGCCGGGCCGCAGGAAGCTGAGAGGGCGGCGGCGCCGCTGGCGATCGCTTCCCGCGAGCCGCCGCGGACTGTTCGTGAACTCGCTTTATTTTCGACAGGAGACGCAAAAGGAGGAGAACGGCAGTGAAAAATCGGTTGGCGAAAGGAGGCCATCTTTGCAGGGGGCTCGCCCCGGCGGCCGCGGGCCGCCGCCGCAGGCCCGCCCGCCACGGCCGCCCGCCCACCGGGCGAGCCCGTCGCCTCGGGCGGCGTGCCGCAGAGCCGCGAGACGCCGTCGCCCCCCGCCCGCCCTCGCCCGCTGAACCTCCATGAATGAGGGCCTGAGGAAATGAGGGGAGCTCTTGTTCTCGGCGAGCGCATTCGCCCGGCTCGGCCCCGCGCCCTCTCCCGCGCCCCCGCCCGCGCCCCCGCCCCCGTCCCCCCCCCACCTCCCGCCTGATACGTAGAGAAGCGAGCGGGAGCCTCGCCTACGCCCGCTTCGCCCCCGCCCCTCCCGCCCTCCGCACGCACCGCGCCCGCGCCCGCCGCTGGGCCGGCGCAGTCTTACCGTTGTGGGAGCTCAAGTCCCTGACTTTGGGGTCGAGAGCCAGGGCAGCGCGCTCGGCCTCCCCTCGTTCCTCGCGCAGCCTGCAACAAGACAGAGAGAGGCTCAGCTGGGCCACACATCGCCAGCGCCGCGCACATTCATCTCGGCCACACACGGCCGGCCGCGCCGCGCCGGCGGTCGGCCGCGGAGGAGGAGGAGGAGGAGGAGGAGGGGGCGCAGCCGCTGCGTGCACATGAGGCTGCTAAAGGGATCTTGCAGGGTTATTTGGGACGATTGCACTTAACACATACGGTACACGCCCACGTAAGGCACCCTCACACAGTGCTAGATGCATGCAATATCTTCTCTTCAAAACACCTTGCAAATCGCTACTCAGAATTATGTGCCACGCTTTATTTGAAAACAAGGAGTAATACAGAGAATAGTAATTACCATAAGAAGAAATACTAGAGTGAAATATAAAAACATGAAAAAATATATAGAGATGAATCTCTCCAAAAGTTGTGTATTGTTTTTATAATACGTTATTTCCCCTTTTACAGACCACGTGGCTGAATCCGTGCGTGTAATATTTTTTAACTGTTTTAATCTCAATTTTATCAGAATGAAAAAATATCAAAAACATGTTATTCAGGGTCATTGTGTGCCAATGTCCAATTTTGATTGTAGTATTTTTTGCTTTTCATTTTCACAGAAGACATGAGACAGAGGACACACAAATTGTTTCCACTGTTTGGGAATAACAGTGATGCGATAATACAATGTGATTTATGAATGATGAACTAGGCGTTAAAGTGATGAAACGTTAATCCAAATAAGCGATGAATATCATAAAAATGTTTTGAAAATTCACAATTATTGTTATTACCATGATCACGAACTCACTGATATGGGCCCAAATCAATACGTGGCAGCGATAAGCGTACCCTCCATCGCAGAAACTATATATCGCATAACAACGTGTTCACACGTGCGATATCAGCTCGTTGGATTCGATAAGACGAGAAAATAGAACCAGATACAGGAAAGTTATAACCAGGAACAGGATATGGAAAATAATAACCTCTTGTGTACAGGGCAGTGTACAAACACACTTTTTTATCCTGTCATATGATTGGGCAATCCATAAACCAATCAAATTCGCGACACGAATAACACCATATGCTTCATGTGCTACGGAGGATATTACGAGATAAACATAGATAGGCCATTGCGGTCGCTATCTAAGGCCAAACTTCACGCGTACATTCCGGATTTCACTAACGAGCAAAGAACGAGACTGTTAACTGCAGAATACCATGTTATCCCTTTGCAGAGATTGTGGAAGTCGCGTTTCAGTTGGTTCAGTAACACATTGTGTTTTGAATAGTAAATATTAAGATAGGAGTAATAAGGTCTTTCGATTACGAAATTCAAGCTAATATCGAGAATGAGAAGAAACGTCATTTCTTCATCAATCTTGTAGAATCTCGCACGTTTGTTCAGGTCCTCCTGCGGCGTCAGCCTGGTGATGATAGGAGAAACAACGGAAAACTACCGATCAGAACAGGTGTCCATCAGAATTCTTCTCCATATGCTGAATTCCTCCTAGTTTCGAATATTCTCTCACCGTCGGGACACGAACTCTGGTGTGTCCTGTTTAGAGGTACTGCAGTGACATCCGTTGCTGCCCTCAGCCACTTCAGCCGGTAAAAATTAAGACAAAATAAAACGCGTCCATCAAGACTTGAGGAAGAACAACGGTATCAGAATTTCAAAATTTACTCAACATTTTCAAATTATTGCTAACTGGTTTTATGATGTCCGGTAACATTTTCTTACGTACCTCTCTGATTGTGAACTTAAACAACTCAGGCAACGTACATTGCCTCATCGCACACAAGTAAGGCGTGCGGGAACAGCACGTGGACATCCTCCACCGAATCGCCCAATAAAAATCCCCCAGCGAAGCGCGCTGGTGCAGCAGAGGTACTTAGGGCGCGTTTTGCGCGACGGGGCTGTCCAAAGGAAGACGCCCACGGCTGAATCATGTGCGCGATGAGTCAGGGCACGCCCGCTCCGACCGAGGAGAACCTCCGGCAGGGGGGGGGCGGGGGTGGAGCGGGGGGGGGGGCGCGTCGGCTCTGCACTTCGCATACCGGGTAGCCGCGCAGCCTTCCCGCTGCGCCTCCTCGCCCTCCCCCGCCCCCGCGACGCCGCGCCCCTCACGCCGTCCCAGACGCGCGGTTTTTCGCGCGGAAACAATGCGCGCTGAAATTAGTCAGCGGAGGGCGTGCGCTGGAGCGTTTGGCGCTCGCGCGGCGCCTGCCCAGCGCGCAACGCCGCCGCGCTAGACGCGTTGCGGCGTACGGCCCTCGACCTGCACGGGGCCCACAGGCCCGCCCCGTCCCTCCTTGCCTTCCCGCCACCCCACGCCCCGCCTCGCACCAGCGCCCGGCCGCTCGGCCGCCCGCGCCTCGCCTCGCCTCGCCCGGCGCTATCGGCCGTCCCTCGCATCCGCGCCCTCGCCCCCCGCGCCCGCCTCGCAGCGCCCCACCTGACCTCTCCCGCCGCCGTAACCCTCATTATTTGCACCCGGGGAGAGTTTTCGCTGTTTGCTCAGGCGCCAGAGTTTGACACAGGTGAGCTGGCAACATAGGGCGTTAGCTGCTTTAATTGCTCATTCAACAGTTGTGTGCAGTCGCGCCTGGGTTGCCGCGCGCCCCTTATCCGGCGCGCCCCACAACCCACGCCGCGCCACGCCAACGGCCACACCGCGGCCAACACAAAACCCACGCCAAGATATCCCGTGCCCGCGCCGCGCCGCGCGCGTCGACCAACTCTGAACACGCGCCCGCTTCGCCGCCGGAAGAGACAGCAAGCGTGTTTTTGCGCGCGGCGTCCCGCCGCCGCCTACCGCCCCCCGCCGCCACTGCCGCCGCCGTCGCCGCCGCATCCGCCCTCGCGCCGCCACTGCGACGCCTCAATCAAATGCGGCGCTTTCATGTCGCTCTGTTTGTTAATGTTGCCCCCCCACTTTACCTTGGCGCTAATCGGAATGTGATTTGTTTGGTCGTGGTGGGCGCGGCGCGGCGGCGTGGCGGACGTGTCGCTGCCCGAAATGAAAGGCCCCCGAGCAACGTGCAGCGGTCGCGGGGCGGGGCGCAGGCACGCCCTCGGGCGGGGGGCGGGCGGGCGGGGGCGGGCGCGGGGGCGGGGGCGCAGGGGATGGGGGGAGTGTGCTGGGCGCACGCGTTGATCGCCGCTTCCGATTCCATCGGAACTCACACCTCAACGCAATCGCTGCCGGTACTCGTACTTCGCTTCACGCGTATCAACGGGGAAGAACGACCAGCTTTGCCAAATAGACTAATTATGCAACTAAAGTAATGCATTTTTTTAACCTATTTTAGAGAGATCTTGACATTACTTCATGACGTTATGTCTTTGGGTCGGAAATGCATTCGCATGTTGATAGTTCAATGTAATCGTCATACTAATTTTAGAGAAATGAGTAGATGGGAAATCATTTTATTTATGGATTTTGAAATAATAATGCTGAATGTGTTAAATGAACAATCATTTTAAATGTGAAAAATAATGTTTAATCTAAGAGAAAACCCATTCAATAAATGTACATTGTGGTCATTTTTATGATTAAATGAATTTGCACCCATTGAAAAACAAAATGTCGTGTAGTATATTATTCTAAAAGAAGAGATGTAACATCATTGCCAAGCACTTCAAATTGGTTACGCATAATTTTATTTCAATGCTTTATAAGCATTGCAAACATTCATGCAACCACTATAAGCAGTATCGTACATGACCAAAAAACATGTTGGAGCTATTAACAATTTTCGAAAACTTTCTAGTCCAACGTAACGCGCCGACAGATTTGACTCCCCCGAAGGCGCGACTTATTCCAGCCACTGCCGTACGAATATGCTTGGACGAGAATTCAACATCTGATAGAAATCCAGTGTGCCGGGGTAATGATGTACGTAGGCCTTGGGCTTTGAATAGTACGGGGTAAAACCCCCAGCGCGGCAACGGGGCGAGGGCGAGGCGGGGGCAACCTGCGTCGGCCGTCGCTCATCTCCCGCCGGCAAGCGACACCCCTCCCGCGCCGGCCGCCGAGAGGTGCGGCAACATCTTTTTACGTTATGAGATTTTGTGACGCAAAAAGTTGAAATGAATGGCGTCGTAACTCACGGTAGCTTTTCTTCCTTCTAAATTGTGCGTTTCAGAACAACGTGTGAAGGAATTCCTTGGGGGGGAATCCGCGGGAAGGGAAGGGCGCCGAAGCTCGGGAGGGTCGTGAGGAGGCTGCTGGAACGCCGCAGAGGCGGCGGCAACCGCAAGGAACGCAAGATTCAAACAAGAAGTTGAAGAAAACGAGAAGAAAGAAGGAAAATAATAAGATTTGCCCGGTGATGGAGGCGCGCTCGGCAGCGAGGCACAAGCGCCTCGCAATAAATGAAGAAATTATGACCGCTGCATATTCTTTGGGAGACGCAGATGCTTCGCGGAGCGGCCAGGGGTGCGAGGCATCCGCCAAGCCGCGGCGCCGCCCCTTCCGCCCGACGCCCCCACGCTCTCCCGCCCCTCCCCGCCCGCCCGCCTCCGCGCGGCCCCGCCGCAACCAATCTCTTCGTCTGCGGTGCGTTACGAGACACCGCGCACGGAGCTACACACCATGCGTTTCCTCCATCAACGTCACCCTCATCCCTCATTCCACTTTGTTTTTCGTCCTCACGTACGCCCTTCGCCGCGCCTCGCACGCCGCCTGCCTAAGCTCGCCCGCACTTCTCTCGATCCCGCCCCGCCGCAACTGCAACCGCGTTTCCGCCGCCTACGCGCGCGCGCTCGCATTGTGAAATATTTTAGCGATCACCCTCCGGATGCTGCACGACGCCGACAGCCTTGTACACTTCCCAATGCACTGCATTCGTCACCTCGACTCCGACACCGGTTCCACATGAATAGTGTTCTTGTGAACATTTACTACCTCGCCCGCACTCAACTGCACGCTCTTTTCCGTCATGAACGTGCCTGGGTGGGGTTCGTTTCCCTTGCTTTCCTAATCCTACACGCTCAGGTAGCGGCAGTCCTGACCCGCTCACCCCGTCCCTCCTTCTCGCCCGCCCCCCCCCTGACTGCGCCCGGCCAGCCCTCTCCCCATCCGGTCGGTTCCCACCTCCCCCCCGCGTGCCGCTCGCGGCCTGCTCCTGGAGCGCCGGCGCCGCTAGCCGTCTCGGGAGCGTCTTCGCCGTGTTTGCATGAACGCATCGATTTTGCGTCGATTGCCGCGAATACCGTCCTTCCTGTATCTGCGGCGCATATCGCCTACGGGAGGCCTGCCGCCGCTCCGCCGCCAACCGACCCCACGCGCCATCGGTGGATACCCCTGCGCGAGCAGTCCTGAAGACAGGCTATGGATATGGATACCGAAGCTTGTTTCCTCTCTTCTTTTTTCTCTGCCGCTGCGGTGGAAATATGTTAAGTTAGGTAAAGTGCTTTAAAGTGCTTTGGGCAAGAGAAACCCCCCGCTTTCCCTCCGCGTCGCCGGCAGAGGCAGTGGCACTTCAAGAATTCATCTCCCTTCGTACCAATATCTTGGGAAATACTAATGAGAGAATGCTTTTAAAACGAGAGAAATAAACTAATGGAGACATTTTAATGTGTTCTAAACCAGTGCACGTTCCACGCGCCCGCCCCCGAGCTGCCTCGCGCCGCCCCGCGCGCCCTCCCGCGGCCGCCCCCGCGCCGCCCGCGCCTCACGTTCTGTTCTCCACCTTTCCCCGTGGCTCGCAGCAAAATATAACAACAGAAGGCGCAGGCAGTAATGTGTTGCTACTTTTGTGGTCTTATATAAAACTTTAAATATCACTGCAGAGGAGTAATTTTTTGAGAAGTCGGAGGAAGACTATGCATAAAAAGCTATTAAAAGTGCAGGCAGTTCTTCCGCGACCAGGGGGTGGTCGAAGAGGGGAGGCCTGATTAACCCACCGACGTGGAGGGGTGGGCGGGGTGCGGGCGGCAAGGGGCGAGGGTCGGGGCAGCGGGGAGTGCCGGCGGGGGGGTGCAGCCAGGGGAGGGGGCAAACGTTAAGCGAAGACAGCAAGACGCCGTGCCAGCTCCGTTAGATTTATTTTCGTCTTATAATCCTCTTATCCCCCCAGTGAAATATTGCTCATTTCTGGCGTTCTAAACCACCACAAGGATTGATTCTTGATTAACAAATTGAAAAAATTGCGTGTCTTGAATTTAAGCAACTTTACAGTTTTATGTTTCACGTTGGTTTGTTTCAATTTACGACGTACTGAAATTTATTTTTCCTCGTGAGCTTTGCAACGAGGCGGGGAAATTGCCACATCACACTTTAATGAATATTAAATTTTCACATTTCGACCGTAACATCAGGATTACAACTGCAAGACCAAGTAATTGAAACGCCGGGCGAACCATGCTGTGAGCGAAAAGCGTCATTGCGACGGAAAGAAGTATCAATTAAGAGTCGCAAAGAGATCAATTACTCGACTGGAGGTTGCAATGTCTGCAAACCGGTGTTGCACGCCTCCCTTGTTTTCTTCCCCGTTCCGAATTAAAAGAAAAAAACCAATTAGACAAGTGAGCCAAGCTGTGCAGTAACAGGTGACTTGTATGAACGATGCGGCGTGCGCCCGCACCCCGCCTCGCGCAACAATGTGCATGCACTTGCCGCGCCGCACCACCGGCCGCCGAACTCAACGACTTGATTAAGAGAACAGCGCGTGCGGCCGCCGGCCT